CATCATCATCATCATAGAACTATTACAGTACACCATTGTCATCTGTCTTTCATTACCTAGTCGTGCTGCATAAAGGGTGATCTAATATCCTGTAGACTGACTGCTTCAACTAGTTTTATCTCCTCTTCCATCAGCTGCCAGCCAAGTGCCTGCATATCCTGCTCTGCTTGACCGGCACGCGCACACCAACCAGTGGCAAAACTCCTTTATTGATAGAATAATTCAGTGTGACAGCAGGAACAGGCATACATCGCTATCTTGGACTTGGGCCCGCTAGCCTGCATGATTGTTATATAGGTCATATCTGGTGTTGATAGCTTTTTGGTCTACACCACGAAAGAGTCGCGAGGCTTATCCCAGAACATGGTTCCACAGATCCGCTCGCTGTCACCGTCGCCGTAGGACTACGCTGTGTCTACGATGGTCAACCCAACAGACTTGAGCTTCGCCCATGCTGCATGGATGTGCGGCAGATCTCGTGTCGGGTTGCAGTTAAAGGTTGCTTAGTCGCCCCGCGGCCATGCGCCGATGCTCAGGTACGGAACGAGTACGTCCTTGCCATCCACACCACGTAAGGTGAATCGGCTGTTCGAGTCAAGCGTTAGTTCAGGTGGGAGCATGTTGACCGTGTCACTGAGATTGGGGTCCACCGGCTTGGGAAGCGGAGAGTGCATGCCCTGTCTCCCTGACAAGCCGGCTGCCAGGCCGGCTTGCATCATGTACTGGGTGCCTGGAGTGGCCATGTGCGGACAAGTACATTCGAACCAACATGTACATAGAATTGTGGATATGAAATAGAATCTGTGCTACCAAGTTGCTCGCAGCATCCTAGATTGAACCTCGTTTGATAAACTGTTTGGGACGGAGTGGCAGTCTGCGTCATCATGACATTCAGGCAAAATGTACCTGATGGAATCTCGCTGGAATAATAATTATAGTGACATTGCCATTAGTCAGGGGGAAACGTATTTGAAGTGAGTTCATGAGCACGTGGGTGAAATAGACACCCATAGCAAACTAATTCTTTTCACGTCTGGCATTTGCTTCTTTGAATATCAAAAATATTCCAAGCATAGATCCTATTATACGCGGAAACCCTAAAGCGCAGAAAACGCAACGTACAAGAAAAAACAAAGATTTGGGACCAATCATTCCTGGTAATAGAATAGGTGTTGTGCTTCAGGTTGTGAAGACATGTAGGATGCGGGTGGGGAATAATGATGAGACGGGCTCAATGTAATAAAAAAATCATATCCAACAGGTTTCACTGTTAACGCCAATTCGCTATGCTGAAGTATTGTGTCGCGTCGATGCATCTTGTGCTTCGCAACGGAGTTTGAAAAGATAATCATCAACCTCGCGAAAAACGCTTGGGGACAAAGTCGTCGTTTTAATTTCACTCAAGAGGTTCTTCAAGGACTGGGCAATGTCCTTTTCGTTGATGTTCAACTTGGGTTCGGGGAATGTCTCTTGGGTTTGGGTACCCATGGTGGCAACACTTGTAGTTTGCTCGACCATCCCACCAGGTTGCTGTACTGAATCCGTGTCGATGTCAGGTTTTACAGCAGGCTCGGTGGCCTGCTCCATTTCGGTGCCTTGCGTAGCAGTTGCCTCTTCGACAGAAACAAGAGAGGCGTTCTGCTCAGCTTGGTCTTCTGTAGTGAGGCTTTCGGGGACCATGCCTAGACCAACTTGGGGTGGCAAGTGGTCAGTATCGCCATGTTCCTCCGATGGAATGCCAGAAGGTTGATGTTGAGACACCTCAGATGCATGTTGCTGAGACCGTGTTTTGCAGGAGCGGGTATCTCGAGGGACGCTTTGAGGAGTGCTATCTAAGGCGGTAGAAACAGACTGCTCCTTAAGACGAATGGATTTACGAGACCTTTTGGATGGCCGCGGAGTCTCCGCATCTTGAGTTGACTCCCGTGCAACGGAGTCTTGAGTTCGAGGGATTGAGTCCGCAAGGGCACTATCGTAATCTTTTCGTTGTGAACTGCGTGTGGATCGGCGAGTCGCAGTTGGCGATAGTGATTTAGACAGAGAGACCGGCCGAGATGTGGCATCCTGCGAGTGTGAATATTCGGGCTGCATTGACTCGGCGTTAACCGCGTCTTTAACCGTGGACAGCCGCATCGACCGGCGCCTGTCGGTTCTCACAGATAATGGAGATTCCTCTTGATCCCGCTTTCGCTTTTTCATGGATGGTTCATCGGGATGTTTTGCATGCTTCAGATGATCCCTATCGTCCAGATCAACTGCTAGTTCCAAGTCCTGTCCAAGCTGGGATGCGATTTGTGTCTCTGTCTCCTCACTCGAGTCCATAACACTGTCTGGAAGGACACTGGAAGGCATGTATGAGGCTTGCTGAGATTGATTATCGGCAGGTGTAGACTGAGCTTGCTTCCGTTTCTTCTTAGAGCTCGAGCTTGATTTTATCCTGCGACTGGGTTGTTGCACAGGTGTCTTATCAGAGTCAAGCAATGGGACAATTGACGGTTCTGCTGTGTCCGAATCTTTACCTAGCCCAGATCGAAGTCGCCGGCTGGGAGTTATTCCATTCGCTCGAGGTGTTTTATCAGAGTTTTCGTTGCTATAGTCATGGGCATCGCCAATAGGCTTGTCCATGTCCTCCGTCGCGAGATGGGAAGTAGCCGGGCTGTTGACTGTCGATTGTTTGCCAGAGGCACTAACAAGAGCCTTTCTTGCTTTTGCAGCCCTTCGCCGTGCGCTTTTTGAGCGGCTTTTCTGAGGGCTCGGACTCCGAGATTGCATCTCAGGAGGAGATGATGGAGGGTCTATACTTACATCCGAAGCCAGGTGGCTCGATATGAGTGCACCAGAGTTCATAGCAGGGGTAGGGTCTCTGGTCCCAGGGGTGGGAGACGAGCCGATGAATCCTTCTTCATTCTCGGTAGGGGCGAGGGTGGGCGTTAGAGGAAGTTCAGTCAGTGATTCTCCATGTATTTTGCGCAGATGGGGAGGGGTATCAAAGCCCAATTTCCGTGAAGCACTAGCCGGCGACGAGGATTGAATGGATTCAATCATCGAAAATATTTCACGATGACTTTTCCGCTTGTGAGATACTGAAATTTCATCAACAATACGCGCATCCATGGGGTTCTGTAGGTTACTCGGCAACTGAGGTTCATGGAACTGTTCAGTTGCCTTCAGGACCACGGACGAGTCTTCGGTTCGTATGACGGGGGAAGAAAGCTGTGTGTCCTGAGACGGCTGATGCAATGACCGATTCACTTTGTCTTGGGGAGATAGCGGAGATAACATTTCAGTATCCTGATCACCGTCTTGCGGAGGTAAGGCTGCGGTTTGGGCTCTGGACTCCGCACTTTGCACAGCTTGCAAAATTGCGGCTGGGGGGACAAAAGATTGTAAACCAAAGGTCGAACCCCAAAGTTCAACATATCTCTTGGCCGTTGAGACGTGTGAAGACTCTAAACCAGCGCAAAGAATAGGCGCAAAATTTTTCAAAGAAGGCAGATCATGGGAAACTGATGTTTGCAGAACATTGATAGTAGCTGACGAGAGCGCACGGCAAGCTGTCAAGGTTCTACTGTCAACGCCGTGGTCAACATGAATTTTGTGAGACTCGTCCTTCAGCCAAAGACCGAGTGATGACTGGAGACATTGAAGAATTTGGCATTGGAACTGCGGAACACCGGTCCCAAGAAAAGACGTCAATGCCTCTATGAAGTCCGGAAGACCGTGGGATTGTGATGAGTTGAAATTGTCGTATGCACCATGTAATGTCTGGGCAATTGACGCGAGGAGTTTATGAGGATAGATGGCATGTCCAGCTGCCTGGATGCCGCTGCGATCGATTCCTAGCCCGGTTCCTTGCATGAAAGGAATAGATAAGGAATGGCCAAGCAGTGAAGTTGAAGGTAAATAGGTATCTCCAGCGGAAAGATGCATAAGGCGTTCGGCCATAGGATCTACAATCATGGTGGTAACCGCTTGATTCCCTTTCTCTGTTCGAACCACGCGAACAAAGGTCTCTAGCAAATGAGACCACGCTTGAAATGCTGACGGGAAAAAAAGTCCGAATGAGAGAATCTTGATGACATTTTCGTAGTCACGAGATACAGAGCCGTCGCGCTCACGAGCAGATTCCATAGGGAACGACTGCAAAGCATCTGCGGCCGCTTGGGCAGTGGCATTCCAAATTACCTCTGACAGCTGAACTGCACGTGATATAGCACTGGTCTTCGTGGTACTCAGTTCTGCACATTGCTGGAGGAGTTCGATGCGAGATCCTCGGGAGAACCTGCCATTGCATGCTGCTTCAATATTACCTAAGACGAGGTGTGTGTAAAATTGGCTCGGCGCTATTGTCCCTGCAGTGCTGCTTATAATTCGAAGGAGATGAAGAATAGCACTTTCTTGGGTCGTATTTGGAGGTAAATGTGTGGAAACGTTGTCGGTTTCATTTGCATTTCGCAGGAGAAGCTTTTCAGTAAACGGAATGCCCCCAATAGAAACAATCATAGTTGTAGACAAGAATCTGAATCTTTCGAAGAAAATGTCTGTGGTTTCGGCGTTCAATGAGGGCGGCCCTGCAGTCCAAAGGCGTTGCAGTAGACTCCAAACGCTAGCAACAGCTTGCGTCGATTCCCCTGAAGGAGTAATCTCTTTACTGGATGCAAGCGATAGAGCATTGGACAAACTGTTCCAGGCCAGTGCCACGTGAGATTGGCTAACTGCATCATCGATCCAAACTGAGGCTTTGAGTATATGCTCAAAAACTTTCAGAATTGAGGCAATTCTTGATCGAACCCATCTGCTGTCAGCTGCAGGAAGTTCTTCTGCTTCCATTTTGGTGGCGTCATGAATTCGATTCTCTATCCATATCTTGACCTGCGTGCTCCACAACAGGTTTGCCAATATGCGCGAAAGACAGTTGCTGAGAACTGGGACCGTTGAAAATATGCCGGAAGACGGAATGGCCACGTATTCCTCCCATATAATATCCAGGTACTGATAAGACGCCGAAGGGCGGAAAGTGTAGTATAGCAGATTGTAGTAGCTGGTCAGAGCAAGTTGAGTGGGCGGTGACCCTGATTTGTCGGTCCTCTTGCGATCGAATTGAGAGAGTACCGGTTTGCCCAGCATGGTTAGAATATATCGGCTCGTCGATTCGTTGGGGCTGACAGCGAAGACAAATCGATTCCATCCAAGGATAGCCTGCGATTTGATGACTGGTTCGCTGCAATTGAAGCACTTTTGGACAACAAGAACCCATTCCTTAAAATGATCCCAATCCTCCAGTTTGCATCTTTTGCCCCGGAGAAGAAGGATGATGATGCTCCAAATCTGAGGCACATGCTCCCCGCTATCCACCGTCGCCATCATTCGAGTCATGCGCTCACGAACTTCTGATACAAGCTTTCGATCGTGCTCTAATGGCCGGTCGAAGAGATCCCGGATGTTTTTCGATAGTGCAGGATTGGGACCGGCTTCTATGGCCACCTGGAAGCCAAGTGCAATCGCTTTTGACCTGGTATCCTTCATATGATGAAGCAGGCCGAATATCAAGTGTTCGATCCACAGACTTGACTGGGAGATGAAAGCAGTCTTGGCTTGGCCCAGCAGCCGCTGGTAGATGTTCAACCGATGGGAAACAATTGCGTTGCCACTGATGCTCTTGGCTACCTCTTGTAGTACCGTCAAAAGACGGGCCACACGAGCGCCGGTCATGATCTTGGGGCCAAAATTTTGTGTGGACAATATAGTCATATAGTGCGTCAAAACAGACTTTGGGGCCTTGGCCTCATAGAGACAAGTGATGGAGTGGTCGACCAGAAAGATTTTGAATTCCTCCGAAATCTGTGTCGAAATCTCCGGATGCCAAACAAATGCAGCTGACAATTTCAGAGCCTGATTGGCAAGGTTTGTGTCGAGAGGGGAGCCGTTCGCAAGATCCCGATTCACATCTCGCTGGATAAATTCGGTGATGAGACTTAGTTTTTCGGCAATCTTTTGGCCTGCTGGAATCCCATAGTACGTGCGAAGCGCGCCAAAAAATTGCATGTAGGCATCGAGTCGGGAGCTCATCGACTCGCCTGCCAGTTGTTGAATGACCGATTCGAGCAGCATGGCGAGCGATTCTGTGGTAAAAGTATCGACATTGGGTGACCAAACGGGAATCGGTGACTGGGTTGCTTTTAGAATCGACTTCGTAGGCTTGGAGTTTGGGGACGGAGGGATAGTCTTGAAGTCGGGGGCTGATCTCATGGCACTAGCAAAGGTTGGCGGTTTGATGTACTTGGGCCATGGCGAGAAGTTTACTTTCTTCGAACTGCGGCTGGACGTACCAGCTTCGCCCGGCCCCAGCGTAGAAAATGGTGACTCCTTGGGTGTTTGAACGGCTAGTGGTGACTCGGTGTTTTCAATCACAATGCGTGAAGCTGTCCTTGGGGGTGTAGGCGGACGAGCAGAAAGGATCTCCACCATGATTTGGATCAGACAAGAAGTGTGGAAAAGGAAAAGACGCAACAGTCAAGGATCATTGCTGATTTAAATGCTGTTTAGGCCCTGTCCATGATCTGTTTTTTGGCTGAAGCTGAAGGATCAAGATGCCACATCAAGCCGAGAAAACTAAGTTCAAGTTCCGACGCGCCGCGATGCGCGTAAAGTGTCACCGCCTGAGGCGACGAGGCATCAATACGCGGACTTTTCATGCGATTGAGCATAGCTTCAATACTTATTAGGGGGTTGTTTAAGTGTGTGGATATGTAGTCAGTTAACAATCGACAATCGACAATAATCAGCATTCAGCATTGAGCATTGAGCATCCAACATTTTAATCTATTCATGTCGTATTCTTCAGGCAAACTGTGGAGGTTCACAAAAGTTCACACTAGACAAAACATTAAGACGAGGTTGGGCAAGACAGGGCTTCTCTTATAGAGTGTCTTCTAGCATTTTGTTTTATGGATTTCTAGAGAAGATATTCTTAAGAGAAGCTTAAGTGGGGGGTCGCCAAATTATGACGATTTGCGAAGTTCCCCGCGTCGCTCCCTCTCCTTTCTTTCAACTTCTCTCGTCAATAGTTACCTGCTCAAGCTACTGGTCTGTTCTTAATCTCATACTGTACGCCAGATTCTACCTTTGTACAAGGTATCGGTGAAAGTGACACCAGCACTACATCGACCCCCTCCCTGCACCACTCAGAACACTCGAGTTAGTCCGAGCTCAGATCAGTATGGCGTTTCTTCAGATGCAAGGAACAGGTACGTTGTGGACATGGACAAGTTTCACCTCGGCAATCATGTGGGCTTACTTGATATTGCATACACAGCGAAGCTACAAAAAGTGACACAGCTTCTAAAGTCTCTTGAGAAAGATCTACAAGAGAACAACCTCTCAACAGCAGGTAAGACGAATGCAACTGCTATCATACTATGGAAATCCCTAATACCGATCTCTTCCACTACTAGACCGAATTGAAACCCTTCTCCAGCTTCGACAATATGGCACAAACCCTACCGACGCAGAACCGATCTATTCACAGAATGTATGAGCACCACAGAAGAAGGTGCGCATTAAGAATCAGAATGGTAATGGATTCTGATCATTTACAGGGCGTTAATATCCTGGTGCGGTATGGCGTTGAGGGGGAGACCTCTGACGTACGTCGAGCGGCGTTGCGATGTGTTGCAAATGCGCTATTACTTGACCCCATAATGCGCCAGGCTTTTGTGGACACGGGATATGGTGGGAAACTAGCAGAAAGGCTTAAAGTATGCCCACAGGCTAAAGGTTGATACCAATGCTGATTTTGTTATTTGATAGACCGAAGACTCGGAAGACGAGATGATTACAAGTCGGATATTGTTCTACGCGACGTATAACACCACACTGGACTTTAAAGATTTGATAAAGAGCCATGCATTGGGGGAGAACGTCAACTATGTGAGCGAACTGTCAAACTGGAGGGTTGATGTGCTGTGCTGACCAGTATAGCATTTGAGCCGTCATGCGAAACAGTTCTCCAACTCAGGCAGAAAAAATATGTCACAGATGGATGAACTGGCATTGTCAGACACCCTCAAGTTGATATACAACATCTCTAAGATGTTTCCAGATCTTGCTACCGAGTTCTCTCCCTCTATTCCTAATATTCTGAAGATTTTATGTCGCATTGATATCCCGGCAAGGCCATTAGATGGTTTAGTTAACGGATTGCTCAATGCATTGTCTATCCTTGACTTGGAGGAGAAGAGAGGCAAAATTTTCGAGAGCAGCCCCCTTTTTCCGATGTTCGACCCAAACTGCAATGTGGATAAGTTGATCAGCATCTTGGATCAGGCGGTATCTACATATAGCCCAAATGAGCTAGACGCAACCGCAATCCCGTTGCTGTATTCACTTATCTCTTTCCACGAAGTTGCACCCAATGGACCCCGCAATCATATGCAGTCGCTTCTTCTGCCTGAGGATACTGATCGAAGCTTGCCAATTGGACAGTCTGAAACACTTCCTTCAAGACTTCTGAAGCTCTCGACAACCCACTTTTCTAATCTAAAGGTTACAATTTCCGAGCTGATGTTTGTCCTATCAGACAAGGATGCCGAGAAACTTACCAAGAACATTGGCTACGGCTTCGCTGCTGGGTTCCTGGCAGCGCGCGGTATTGAGATGCCACGGAGTGCAAGTGAAGCTTATTCAGACAAAGACGACCCGGCAGCTGCACGGAATCCAATCACTGGACAAAGGTGGGCTGCCGAGCCGCAGGACTCCGGTCCGCCTATGACCATGGAGGAGAAGGAGCGCGAGGCAGAAAGACTCTTTGTATTGTTTGAGAGGTATGTGCATCGTAAACGGGCTATGCAGAGCTGTCTCTAACAAAACACAATCACAGGGCAAAGGCAAATGGGCTCATAAATGTCGAGAACCCCGTGACTCAAGCTCTTCACGAGGGAAGATTTGAAGAATTGTCGGATGATGCTGAAAGTGACTGAGCGTACTGTTTTGAAATCCCACTTGGAAGAAAGACCGTTGAGCTTTGTCTAATATAGCTGTATACACATAGGCTATGACTGTACCGCATAGTAGCTCTGTAGCGATGCTGGCGTCAATTCAGTATCTAAGTTAGGAAATTTTTTCGCTCAGTTCCCTATTGTGCCTGGTTATGCATAGAAAGCTCTCTGTACGGCTTGTTCTTTTTACCGATCTGGTATATATCTAAAAGGACATACTAAAGCATTCTAAAAGGAGCATGCAACAACACATTGTTCTTACAAGTACTGTCCCCGATATTATCTTGGGCCATATAGATCAGGTTTGAAATTTATGTTGACAAGCACAGAGGGACGTATGAGAGGCAGACTACTAATTTAAAGTAAGAAGGGAACTGTGAATCCATGCGGGCATAGCCGCAGACTAAATGTATTTGCGCCGGACAAGATGCTGATACGACTTATACCTGTGGACCGCGGGCGGAATGACGTTGTGCAAGGCGGAGGGCGCTCTCCGCCCGTCAAAAAAAAAATTATGCGCGGGGCACCGAACACTCCCACTTAATCTCTCCCCCACTCATCATATCACAGCTTTCTTGTGTTCGTATTTCACAGCATTTAACTTACGCCCAATCGCCAAAATGTCGAAGCCATTCAACCCCGAGGAGGCGGAGAACTTGGAGGATGTACGACCCCGCGTCCCTAAGGTCCAAAGACCGAAGAACAATGATCGCTGACAATCGCAACAGATGGAGAAGCAGTTCGCCGTCAAAGGTCAGTCATACATCGATTTACATCCCGTTCACATTCTCAGGTAAGGTCATAATATTGACATGATGTCACATTACAGCAGTTGAACATCTCATGACATACTGGGCTATTTTGGAGAAAGTCAAGGGCTCGCAGCTTCGCTTGACCAAGCAGGACAATGATATCTACGAGTCATTCATAGAGGCATTCCCCGATTTTGATCCCGCCGGAACCCTCATCGAGGACGAGATGAAGAGCAAGGCCGGCAAGGAGAAGTGGCGCAACTGGATGATGAAGTGGGATAAGATCGAGGACTTCAACTTTGGCACCATGATCCGCACCCGTGCGGATGCTGAGTATGATCAGGATACTACCATTTTCGGTGTGCGCATGCAGTTCTACGCTGTTGAGATCGCTAGGTAAGTGCTGGTTGAAACCGGGTGAGCCTTGGAAACTAACAGAGTCTTCTAGAAACCGCGCCGGTCTGAACGATTGGATCTACGAAAAGGCCCAGAAGGCCAGCTCTTGATGACCCATCGTCTCTTTGCTGCTGTTTTTGAAATCGAGGACAGTTCCACATCCGGGCTGATCTGGCCGACGGCATTTGCCTTGTGGCGCAGGTGATGAATGGCCTCGAGACTGTGATACTGATCACACATCATCGCAGTATCATAGATTGAGGTTTCTTGTTACGATAGAAGTGTGGTCATGCCTCATACAAATGTGGTTCTGATTTAGCGTCGGACCGTCAATCGCGACTTAACTGTAGATTGGCTGTCTGCTAGGACTTTGGAAGTCTTTTGATACTGTGTCCGAAATATACCCTGAATAAAATGTCAAATCCATTGTTTTTTTTGGTTTTATCTTCTTGAACGCTATCCCAAGGTTGTCTGTCCAAATGGGCTGGTTTGCTGGGGCCCTCATTGCGGGTGATTGTGGCCATCGCGCCTCAAGCATTGAGTAAGTCCACCATCTAGCCCTGGAATTGTTTGACTGTTAAAAATTATCAAATGTTGCACACAGAAAAATAGGACCTTTGCCACCTTCTCTCCCTGTCTATCTATGGAACTAAGAAGGGGGACAATTATCTATCTAAAAGACATCTGAAAAGACTACCAAAAAAACGTCATCCAACAGCGAAGGCTGTGGCTGATGCCTCAAGGATGAAGCCGATGAATGGTACATTCATCCCAAGGGTGCCTTGCAACAATGTCAGAGCACGGGTGTCTTTGTTCTGCACCTCTCTTCAATGTTGCCCCATTGGGGAAACTCTTAGTATTGTTCTTCCCTTGTGGAATTAATTTGCGAAACCACATTCAAATAGCCCATCATGTCTATTTCTTGTCGATCTGTATCCTCCTCTGTCTTGCCTTGCTGCTACGCTACTATAGCCCGGCAAGGAGAACATCAACAGGTCATATCAGGCTTTCAATGTGACATTCGATCCTTTTGTCGATATGCTGTCCACACGCAAGACTTCCGATCAATATGAAACCAACAAAGAAAGTGTCTTCGAGGGCAATCCGGGTTGGACATCGCTGTTCGGATTCACGACTAGAAGACACCTCCCGACTCTCATATTCGGGTCTATCTTCGCCCTGGTTGCTAGTTTTGTCACACCTGCACTTGCAATCTTCCTTGGCAATGTGTTTGACTCTTTTACCTCTTTCGGTTCCGGTCACACTGATTCCAAAGGGCTTCATAGCCAAGTTATCACACACTGCTTTGGAATGATTGGACTGGGAGTAACGGGGTGGTTTTTGAACGGTGCATACTATGCTCTGTTCGTTGCATTCGGAGAAATGCAGGCCTCTGTTATTCGCAGCCAAGTGTTTCTAGAGTTGCTCAAACGCGATTTGGAGTGGTTCGAGGCCAAAAACGAAGGCTCCGGCGCTTTTCTGTCGGGAATTCAAGCGTAAGTTTGCCACTGTACTCGCCGAAATCTGATGTCTAACATCACAATGTCTTCAGACACATCCATGAAATGCAGATGGCAACATCGCAGCCACTTGGACTCGTACTGCAATACTCTTGCCGTTCACTAGCTTCACTAGGGCTGGGTTTCTACACATCATGGCGCCTCTCGCTGGTAACTCTTGCGGGTATTCCCATCTTCTCGGCAATTATCGGATTCCTCTCCTCCAAAATGAAATTTAGCATTACAGCACAGCAGGCTGAGCTTACCGAAGCTTCCAAGGTTGCCAACAATGCTATTACCAATATCGATACGGTCAAATTTCTCAATGGGCAGGCCTATGAGCATCGGAACTTTGCTGAGCGCATTGAGAGATCTGCTACACACTACCTTCGACAAGCTCGGTTGAATTCTCTGCAACTTGCTATCATCCGGTGGATGATGTTCGGGATGTTTGTCCAGGGATTCTGGTACGGCAGTTCGCTTGCACGCGCCGGTAAACTCACATCCGGAGAAGTTCTAAGAACTTTCTGGGCCTGCCTGACCGCAGCTCAGTCCATCGAGCAGGTATTGCCGCAGATGATCGTGATGGAAAAAGGAAAGGTCGCTGGTGTTGCCTTGAAATCGATTATACAGAGCGGGAGAAAAGACAAAATTGTGAGTGAGGTCAAAGGAACTCGGTATCCGGAACACTGTGAAGGTGATATCGAGGTCAAAAACGTGAGATGGAATCTCCCCATGGGGTATTATCCGGACACTGATTAACATTTACGAAGATATCATTTTCATATCTTAGCCAGCCTGACCAATGTGTACTCAAGCCGTCAAGCTTTTTCTTCCCCGCCGGAGAAACCACGTTCGTTATAGGTAAAAGCGGCTCTGGTAAAAGTACGCTCAGTCAACTGCTGATGCGGTTCTACTTGCCAACCTCAGGTGAAATCCAGATTGACCGCAATCCCATGGAAGAACTCGACGTCAACTGGATCCGCAATAACATCACCCTTTTAGAGCAAAAAAGCATTCTTTTCAATGAGTCTGTGCTCACGAACATCGCCTTCGGTCGTCAGGACCATGCAGCCGTCACTAAGCAAGATGTCAAAGCTCCCATCGAATTGGCCATGCTTGAGAACACAATCGACGGTCTCCCCAAAGGCATCAACACTTGCGTTGGCCCGGGTGGAAGCTTTTTGAGTGGTGGCCAAAGGCAGCGAGTCGCCATTGCCAGAGCGAAATTACGCGACACCCCAATTCTGATCCTGGATGAACCCACCAGCGCACTCGATCACACAAACCGAATTGCAGTGATGAAAGCGATCCGTGAGTGGCGGAAAGGAAAGACTACAATTATCATTACCCACGATATGTCACAAATCATGGAACACGATTTCCTGTACATCCTCGAGCAGGGTTCGATTGTGAACTCCGGCTACAGATATGCCGTCGAGGTCAGCCCGGGGAGCGAGAAGTATTTCCATACGAAAATCAACAGTCGTCTGGAAACCAAGTCCCCGAGCAAGAGGGCTCTGGATGACATGGAAATTCCATGGGGGAGCTCATCATCGGAGATTCTACACACCCTAAGACCCCCAACAGCTTTCCGCGGACATCGTCGGTCCAGAGCATCCTGGGCTCAAGGCCACATCCCCCCAAACTTTCACTCCGGCTCACTAGACTTAACGATGAGACGTAACTCGGAATATATGGTCAGAAATGGAGATATCCCCGGTTCGCCCTTTCAAGATTGGAGCCAACGTCGTTCTTTTACGACAAAAGGACCTGCCCCTCAGCAGGACTCGAACGAAGCAACTATTCAAATTCCCGTGGAAGAATTCGAAATGGTGCACATCGATGATCCGGGCTTGAAGTCAGACCAATGGTCCAATGAAAATACCGCGAAATATCCATCAGAAAGGCAGCGCAGTCGGCGATCGCATGGCCGCCGCAAGAAATCAAAAGAGCAGCACCTGCCAAAAGAAGGAATGACTCCGCTCTCTCAGATCATGGGCACCATTCTGTCAACTTTGACGATCAGACAGCGAATCATCCTCTTCCTGGGATTCGCTGCGGCACTGGCCCATGCAAGCGCAACCCCTATTTTCTCATATTGTCTGTCGCAGCTGTTCGGAACCTTCTATGCTGGAAACAACAGTGAACACCTAACAATGGTATGGTCGCTTGCTGTACTAGGAGTTTCTTTCGGAGATGGCCTTGCGTCCTATTTCATGCACTACTTCCTTGAGCTTTGCGGTGAGGCATGGATGGATTCCTTTAGGAAGAATGCCTTTGAACGCATTCTCGATCAACCACGGGTTTGGTTTGAGAAGGATAGTAACGGATCTCTCAGACTCACATCATCTCTCGATCAAAATGGAGAAGACATGCGAAATCTGCTAGGCCGATTCGCGGGGTTCGTGGTTGTTGCTGCAGCAATCACCGTTGTGGCAATCATCTGGAGCTTGATTGTTTGCTGGAAGTTGACACTCGTTGCTCTCTCCTGTGGACCCGTCATTTTTGTCATCACTCGAGGCTTCGAGGGAACAAATGGGTTATGGGAAAGACGATGCAATGATGCGAACGTTGTCGCCGCTGATGTCTTCACTGAGACCTTTTCAGAGATTCGTACCGTGAGAGCATTGACATTGGAAGGTCACTTCCATCGCAAACAAGCCAGTGCGATCGCTAGCTGCTTGTTGCTGGGGTTGAAACGTGCCATCTACACAGGCATGCTTTTCGGCATGGTCGAATCGACTGTCATATTTTCTAGCGGTACGATCGCTGATAATTTACTTGCTTGCTATTGTTCTGACGGTTTTGAACAGCTTTGATCTTCTACTATGGAGCAGTACTCGCGGCATCTCGCGAGTTCAGCGTGAACGATGTGATGACAGTATTCTCGATGCTACTTTTCAGCATTGGATACGCCGCTCAGCTTCTGTCATGGAGTAAGTAGGCCCTGAATCACTTCGAAGTACTCTGCCAACCCTTTTCTAGTTCCCCAAATCAACACCTCCCGTGAAATAGCCACGCAGCTTATTCGTCTTGCAAATCTCTCACATGATGGATCCCACGAGCACCTTGGCAGTTTGACGGTTTCCAAACTTACCCCCATCAAGCTCACCAACGTGAATTTCCAATATCCCTCGCGGCCAACCACATCTGTGTTGAAGAATGTCTCGATTTCTATCCCACCCAACTCCTGTACAGCGCTGGTAGGCCGATCCGGGTCTGGGAAATCCACAATTGCGTCCCTGTTATTATCGCTTTATGAAGCTCCGACCTCCGAAACTGGACAACCTACAGTGACACTCGGCGGCGCGGATATCCTTCGGCTTCATGTTCCTACCCTCCGCTCACAGATCTCCATCGTATCGCAACAACCAACTATTTTCCCCGGCACTATCCATGAAAATATCAGTTACGGGCTGGACCCGCATTCGGTTCTAGCCTCATCTCATAGTGTCCGAAATGCCGCTCAAGGAGCAGGGATTGATGATTTCATTTGCTCTCTCCCTCGTGGATATAACACTGTGATTGGAGATGGCGGAGTTGGTCTTTCCGGTGGCCAGAAACAGCGCGTGGTCATTGCAAGGGCTCTTTTGCGTCAACCTCAAATCCTGATTCTTGATGAAGCCACGTCCAGCTTGGATCCAGCGGGTGCGGAGATCGTGCGGCAGACAGTGCAGCAGCTGGTGGCCGTACATCAGGGGCTTACTGTCATCATTATCACGCACTCGAAGGAAATGATCGAGATTGCGAATCATGTCGTTGTTCTTGACCAAGGTGCTGTTGTAGAAGATGGACCCTATCGGGATCTGGTGAAAAATAATGGTGGCAAGTTGCATGCCTTGCTCAGTGACCCCGAAGAAGTCGGCAGTTAAAATTTTCTATCGTCTTCTTTGATCCATAGTCCTGATGTGCACATTTTTGCTCTCTTTTCGCTGGTCCTCCTGTATTTATCGGACAAAGTCAGTGCAAATGCGTCATCGTTATTATTAAGCATCAGTAGTCTTGAGTTAATCAGCAACACCACGTAAGGAGGTCACTACTATGGGTAATCAAGTGTGTTAAGGAGAACACCGACGTGGATGATGTGTTCGTTCAGATGGAGAGAAAAGCGGTAAAATCAAATCGACCAAAGACAAGTCCCGCTTAGGGGCTTCATCCCCCCCCCCCCCCCCTCCAACCTCTCAGCCTTATAAGCTTACATTGTACATAGCAAGCGCCCGTATCCAATTCACATATTCTTCACACCAACTAGAGTGACTATGTCAAAGCCCACTCTGATTTTCGCAGCGGGCGCATGGTACCCGCCCACCATATTCGACCCAATCATCAAGGAACTCGGCGACTACACCTGCCACAGTATCGTATTTCCCTCCATCCAGCAAGCCAGCTCAGTCGTCGAACTTGGACCCGACATCGAGGCCGTGAGATCTATCACTCAACAGGAGGCAGACACCGGCCATGACATCGTCATCATCGCGCACAGTTGGGCCGGACTACCAGTGAGCAGCGCGTTGGATGGACTGAGCAAGTCCGAGCGCGTAGCAGCCCACCAAAAGGGCGGTGTCGTCAAACTCATCTTCATCGCCGCTTTCCTACCTAACATTGGCGAGGGTTTGATCGGCGCGTTTGGTGGAAGGCCCCCGCCGTGGTATGTGCGCGATGTAAGTGGTCCACTGATTTCGATTGCAGAAGTGCAAATATATTCAGAGGACCACTAACAACTTATTCCAGGACGAAAAGGGAACTGTGAGTGCCAGCGATGCGCTCGTGCTGTTTTTTCATGATGTTGCCAACGGTGCGGAGTGGGTTAAGCTTCTCAAGCCACATTCGTGGGCAACTCAGAATGCCCCTGCTACCGGTGCAGCGTATGTGAACATTCCCTCCGCCTATCTTTTGACTGAAAATGATCGCGCGACTCCGTTGCCGGTTCAGCAGGTGCTGGTGGAGCGGGCTCGACGGAAGGGGGCGCAAATTGAAACTGAAAAAATTCAAACAGGACACACGCCATGGTTGGCCATGCCGGGTCAGGTGGTTAATTACATCAAGAATCATGCTAGGGAATCCGTAGAGGGAACTTCCTCTTCTTTGCAATGATGCAGGTCATTCAATTTGCAGATACCTTGGTCTCTTATGTAGTGTCAGGGATAAGAGGATAAAAACACAAAATCAATATTTGACCTATTTCAAACAATTCAAAAGAGATAACAACCACCAAGACTGAGGTATGTACAGTAGCATTTACAACTTACGACATGACCAAATGGCACCGAGACATACCTTCAAGTGTTGCTCTGCCTGTGCGACAGCTTATCGACAAAGCTCCTCAGCTCATGGAAGCGACTCGACTTCTTTCCATTCTCCACGGGCTGCCGGACTGGCGCAGCGGCGTTCTCGATAGCAGACTGCTTGGCAGAGTTACTGGGGCCACCACCAATAGTGACTGTTAAAAGCTTTGGATTGCCATCAAAAACACTGCCAGACTGATCGGAACCATCCTTGGGTGCAACATCATCATATGGGAACGCATATCCTCGGGAATCAATGCTCACAGAATGACAGATACGCGAGTAGTGGTTTGTCACGGGGTTCTTGTAGTAGTTGGAAACCGTCTCCCCATTCGGCTGGTTGCCATTGATCAACAAGGTTGAGCGATTGAACGCCGCCGCGAGACGAGCTGTAATGGCGTCTTTGGTGCCATTCCCCGACACAGCAAAAGACCCAGAACTATTGCTGAAGATGTCTCCAGTAGACGGCTTGGTATACGTGATGCCTGGGATTGAGAAGGACAAGAGACCGGAGGTTACTTTGGCAGTGACATCACCGGCGTTAGCCTGTGTGTTTACTGTCAAGGTATTTCTGGTGCTGTTTTCGTAGTAGGACCAGACTTGATTCACATAGCCTTCATAGTAACCTCGGAACAACGACTGATTGAGGGCTCGTCCCGTGTTCGGGGAAAGGGCTCGCAAGTTGACCCCGTTGCGCTGGATTATGAGCTTGTCCCAGCCGGCGCCATCCTTGTTGTTTTGCTCTCTGAGGGCATTACAGACTAGGTCGAGACCATTGGGTGGCAGACCCCTGACAGTCTGGGTTGCACCAGATCCGTTGGTTAGGGTCATGGCGATGGGCATCGACACGAAGTCGACGTAGCTGAGATTCGCATAAAGCTGGTAATGGTTCCAGGTGAATTCGCAAAAGGCCCACACCAGATTGTAGTTACGGTCCGACGGGTTGGATACCGAAGGCTCAACCAAGGCAGGTCCAGGATTCAGAAAGAAGGTCAACCTGTTGTCTCGCGCGAACCACAATCGGGCGCCGGCAAGGTGCGGAATAGTGATGGTGGTGGTACTACCAGAGGCACCCAGGGGAATCGCACAATCTTCGCTCAGGCTGGTCCCAGTGGCCGATGGTGAGGTCGGGTAGTAGGCTGTCTTGCCATCAGATCGCAGGAGGAAAAGCGCATTGTTATGATCAAGCGCCTGGCCTGTAATATAAGCATAGACCGTGTTCGAACCGGTGTTGTTCTTCAAAGCAAAGTTTAATGTTGCCATTTTGCCCGATCTCAGTGCCACAATGGGGTTGAAGAAGAATCCAGGTGGACTGAGGTCTTTGGATGATTGGCGCAGAAGCCCAATAAGAAAGCCGTATCAAGATCCACAAGGCTGCCGATGAGGGGTCTGAAGTTGTCGGTATTTTAGTTCGCAATGGGGGCCATTTTATATACTGTCGGTTGACATCCTTTGTTGGGTTCGTGCTAAACTCAAGGTATCAGGTAGGGCAGGGTGACCAGGACCCTGTGATGCAACGTGGTGATGACCTTCAGTGTTGCGCAGAGGGTGGCTTCGACCCCATTGGAGCGACTACCTGATTTGTCGGTCATAGTTCGGAGTAGGCTGGTCGTCACTGTCAACAACAGTATTTATCAATGCCGATCTAAGCCATGGCGGAACGGTAGGATCCTTCCGAATTTTCAGGTGATCCAATTCCCACCTGTTCATCTTGGCCTCTTTATGCGGGAGACAACTTCAAGAAGAAATATGTGGAACTTCGTAGATTTGGCGAATCGGCTGAATTCTTGACCTTCAAGGCAACCGACTTCCGGTGTCCCCGAGAACCTTGTTCTATCAAAGCGGAGGTGTAAGGGTTCCAACCTTCCACGATTGGCCATTGGGGTCAGCATCAGGTCATCCACGCCTTTTATCTTATTGGCGCCAATGCAACCATTTGATCTTTCTTTCCTGCCACGAGACCATCTCTAAGATGTCGCTCAGCTTTGCAAAGTAACCGAATTTGAAATGGCTGTATTGAAAAGTAAATCATATGACGATGGTAATTGTGGGGTTTCCAACCTTGAGGCTGAAGGAACCTCGCACCTTAGACGACCGAACGCCTAGGAGATTGATTTGCATCCTTCGAGGCCACTGGGTGAGGATTTTTTTTTAGAAAAAAAAGGATCCCAAGCTTAGTTTCACATTCACTCACATGCCCTTGTCTAGCAGTACCCCAAAACTGCAAAACGAGAGAAGAGATCCACGTGTTTTATCGTATGTCTTTAACTAGAAACCCCCCATCTGATGAACGTTCAACTTGGCTGGGCAAGGCGCGGCCCATTCCTGAGCAGGATCACATGTTGAGTTCTATCCTGATTTTTGAGAATCGAGTTAGAAGCACCCACGATTACCATTCACGTAGAGTTGTGTCTAGAACCTTTGCCAGGATCTACAAGTGGCGGTCTATCAAAGGTGGTGTGTGTACGACCAGGGCCAAAGGTCAAGTCACGATCACACAATTTGATTAGATCGTAATTGTATCAATGGCACCGATACTGTGGTTCACTAGAAAAGATAGCTGGCAGATTTGACTACCGTAGTGCCATATCGTTGCCAGCCTTCATGAGACATGCGCACTTTGTTCAGAGGCCCACAGTAGGCATCGCGGTCAAGTCTACTAGAACTACATGACAAGTATACTATCCAGAGCTGTAGCCCATGCAGATTGGCTTAATTTTTTGGGGGGGGCAATCTTAGCTTGAATTATCGTTGACAAATCGTCATCAGCATCAACATCAGCAGGGTGTTCCCAATTGTATGGCTACGAAGGCAAATTCTTTGGGCAGAGGGACATGGGACCAAAACAGATACTTTGGACCTCAAGGGCAAGGACATTCTCTGCCATCCTCGTCTCCGGTTGATCCAGCGGGAAACCAGGCATGCATGGGGAAACACAGTATTGTCCTTTTGAATAACCCAAAGCCATCGACAAAGTCGACTTGGAGCTGACATAAACATTTCACAGATAACACATCATAACCCCAAATTGCTGTTCAGAACAGAGACCAAAATGGGCGGAAAACGGGGGCCTACCAAATTGGATTGCCGACATCTTAGCATTGTCTGGTCTCAACGGGTTACGTTCAACCACATCACGGTGTGGCTGAGGACCAGACGAACCAGCTACTTTACAATGACGATTAAGCACCACCTACATCTATCTTGGATTTAGAGATATCGGAACCGTGAAGATGGACACAGGTTATCATACCCCTTGGCGTGGCACGGATCTCAACGGATATTGGCCGCGACGGCATAAAGCCGAGCAGCAAGATGGCACATTGAAGGGGCATCCGCTATCATTTAGATCAATATTTCCGAGAACTACCGAGACAAGCAGGTGGAGACAGATGATCGGAAAAGTCCGATCGTCGGTGAGTTCGGCCTGTACGGAGTACTTTGGCGAGAGGTGTTTCAGAATTGGCAAGGAGAGCTAAGAGAATTGTTTCAATCACCAACCCCCTTAAAAATTCGCATCTCACGATTTGGACCGAGGTCCACGAGAGTTATATTTTGGGGGGGGGAGTGACACCATCGCCTACGGCCCCTAATTAGCCATAACGGGGGAAATTAGACGATTGGCGATTGGGAAATTTCAGATGTCTCAGCACGATCTCATAAACCGGTTGGTCCCGAACGCAAGGGTGGATTCTATTTTTGTTCATCTATCCTTGCTGGAAAGGGACTCATGCTCTCTCACAAAAGTCAACGAAATCAATTATGGCAAAAACCCCCCCAAAAAAAAAAAGAGTTGAGAGTTGAGAATAGTGAAGTGTTGGCGAAATGGGCAGGGTTCGGTTGGAAAGCAACTGATCGCTATGGAAACCCATAGTGAAGAGGAAATGATTGGTAGGCCATTGCAGACAACCGTTTCTAGCCAAGATCGACAATTTTTCTTCGTACGGACATAAAATTAGATAGTAAATTAGAAACAAGAAACCTGAAGCCCAGCCTCCAACGATTCATTGCTTGGCGCATAACATTAGCCACAGTTTTTGTAGGCCGCTTTGTCTATTTTCTCATTCCTCGACTCCTTTGAAATCCGGGGCTTTTTATTCCATGCCTTCCATTCAGGATTTCTAGGCCGAGTTGCCTGTTGAACATTATGTACATTCCACATAAACGTCAAAATGACACTCAAAAGAATGAAATATTCATTATCGTATGTGATTTTTGATCCGGTCGACCCTTGCCCCTACGCTAACCACGGATCAAGTGCGCCGTGAGCATCATCTTCGCAGTCGCACTCTGTGTGGGAATCTTCTTTTTACTTCGATATTTACGACAACAACACTACGAACCGAAGTACCTCCCGGGGAAATTCCTAAAGCGAAAATGGAAAGAATGGGGCACAGGGAGTGCATCGTACGGTCAAGTCCCGAATCAAACGAATGGCCAAAATACCTCGTATCATGGAGCTGGCACAGCACCGGAAATGCAGGCTACAGATGGCATCCGCCGCGATACCTCGATCCGTTCGATCATGACCCTACCCCCTTATTCTCAAAGTCCCAAGCCGACCGAGCAAGTCATCGCCCGAGAAGGTGAACGCGGAGGAATGGATATGGTCGTGGAGTACCCCGAGACCGCCGAAGAACAGGAAACGCGTCGTGAGGAACAAATGAACTTGATGTACCAGATTCGCCTGCAGCGCCGTCAGGAACTAGCCGATCGCGAGGCCCGCCGTCGGGAGCGACGCGAAGCCCGGGCGCGTGGGGATTCCGCCCGTCTTGACCAGCTAAATGCCGAAACTCGCGCTCGGACGGAACGTCGCCGTGCAGGAACCAACAGTGCAACCGACGCAACCGCCATTCTCGCTGAACATCAGGCGAGAGAGCGGGACCGACGCATCGCGAGTGTTAGCTATGCTGAACTTGGCCGTGTTCGCCACGATGGATCACGGCTTCGAGCCGACTCGCACAATTCCGACATCCACGATTCGGATAGCCGACCGCTGTTGCAAAGTGACGCGGTGAGCTCCACCGCGCAATCTTTTGAACCATCTAGCGCCGAGTCTCGAGGCCAGTCGGGTGCTCCATCATTTATGAGCGAATCACAGAATTTTACTGAGCTTGAACGGTTAACTCTGGCTCCAACCACGACACAAGGCTCAAGTCGACCACTATTGCCAACTGACGAGGGAGATTTGGGAACGCTCAACATGCCCCCACCTCCCGACTACGAGCACCTCGACTGGGGAGATGCTCCTGCGTATCAGAGTCCAACTACAGAACAGACTGAACAAGTGGGGCAACTCCCATCCATCGACCGTTTGCCTTCGATCCACGTCAATGTGCCCAGTCCCATGGCTGTGTCTCCCGTCACACCAACCCAACCGCAATCCCAGGGTCCCAACATCGATGGACCTCCAACACCGACAGAGCGGACGCCGGGAATCCGAATGGTGTCAGCAGAATCAACAACGTCAACAACCACCACCCGCGGTCCACCACCCACACTGCATGATTCGACCACCACTCCTGAAAGTAGCCAATGAGTGAACCCTACCGGGAACCACTCATAACATACCACTCGGCATGCGCACGATTCACGACCTGTATTAGCATTAGTCTCGGGGGCTCTAGTCCTTTTTTTTTCACTCGTTTATTTTCGTAATTTTTTTTCCCTCAGCGACCTTTCCATTTGATGTCATTTACTCGGCTAGCAAGGCGTTTTGAGTTTAGGTGGCAAGCAAAGAACATTGCTCTTTAAATAAATATGGGGTCCTTGCGATCAATGTATCTACAACATCCAATACATGAGGGAAATGGAGAGCCTTTATACACTTGACTTGTATTTACCAGTTCCTAGGCATGCACAGTCTGCCATGCCTCTCCAGTGCAGGTTGAATACCCATCCACGCATCGACATTCACAGCCGCGTCACACACCACCAAATCATGCGAATGCTGCTTGGTTTGCCAGGATGGAGACTTCTTGCCCGAAACAGCCGCCTGCATCGAGGAAACCGGCTATCGAGCCTGAGCTCAGACGATCGAGCATTTTGCTGTAGAATCGAAGACGGGGGAGACAGAAGAATAGGAAGCGCCGTGGATTGTTTTAGTATGAATGTGGTGATCTGCGGAATCGAAAAAGATGGAGCATGCACCAAGGACAGGACATGTCACTGTAATCCCGAAGACAAATCAGGCCGCTAACTAGCGTCTATATAGGGAACGGAAGCGTCGGAGAGATAATAATAAATATATATATATACTAAGAGGACTAAATAAAGCGTAATTAATTAAATAAGTATAGTCATGATATTTTCTAGATTCCCTATTTACTATAGATAAAATACCCTAAAACTACTAAATTTTTACATAACTTTTATATATCACGAGGTTAGTCGTGTTTACACCATTTGTCGTGCTATTGCACCGAACTAAAGGCCCAGTGCTGCTGTAGCACTGGTGCTATAGCACCGGTGCTGTGGGACTTGTCAAGGCCTGATAAGTAGGCCTGATAGCCTATTAAAGTAACCTATAGTTTTTAAATTCTGGTTTACATATTAAAAATGGGGGGGTTATTTTAAGTTATAAACTGGTTTTTCATAGAAAAGAAGGGTCTGTTACTATATAGAACGACTATATACTAGTCGTGGGGGGTTTTAGAAGTTATGTGACTTCCCTATTTGCTCCCAGTACTTTAGTCTAGCTAGTGCCTATAGATAGCTTCTCTCTTTCACCACGCATATAGAGATTTACAGTTTCATCTATAACTTCATTTGTAGACTGCATACCATCTCTCTCACTTTCACTTGTTTGAGTGACCGAATGATGTCCAACCGGCCACCTTCATCGGATTTTTGGGCGATGGCTTTGATCTGAGCAATTATGGAGTCCATATTGACACGAATTACAGAAGGAGATTTTCGGGTCGAAGACGGAAGCGAGGAAGAAAGACTAGTGGATGGCTTATTGTGAATTTTTTTTAGGGAAAAGAGGTTCCTATGTATACCTCGAGTCTCATGGAATCTCTCAGGGTTCCAACCGTAGATCCAATCTCCACGGAGGCCTCGGAACTTCCGCGAATTCGCCGGTCTTCCATTGATCAACTTCATGAACGACATCACGCCCACCTTTAACGCCCGCGAACTCAAGAAGCTGAAACAAACATTGCCTCCAACAATACCAGTGGCAGAGATGTATCGAGTCGAGAAAGAGCGTTCTAGATCTTCACCGCTCGCGACCTGTATTTTGCCACTTTTGTCGATCGAGGAAGCTGAAGTGCAATCGGCAATTCCCTTGCTCTAACTGCACTAGTCGGGACAAAACCTGTCAGCTCTATCCTAGTACAAATCTGCCTGTCGGTCCTCGGCATCAGGCTAGTCAATTGCCCAGCAATGACAATACAGATGTACTAGCCCGCTTACGGAGGCTGGAAGAGATAGTGATTATCAATGGACCAGCGTCTAGTCCCCTGGGACAAGATAATACCCAGGCTTTGTCACTCCCTTCTCTCCTTGCCCCGACTCCCAGACAATCATGCGTGGTTCAGGAAGAACAGTCATCTGCAAACGGCTACGACTTGGTTGGATCGCGAGATCACATCGTCAGGCTTACTGGTAGGCCTACCTTGATAGAACCAAATTATGGGAAATAGGCCGCTGACAATAGGTTACAGGGTAATCTTTTGAATCATGACATTGAATTCAGAATCTGCCCCATGCGTGATGCTGTGGGGCATCAACCAACGACATGTCAAGGCCAGTCCACGAAGAGATGCACTTGGCTGCCACTCCACGACGAAGCGAAAATAATGGTGGAAAAGTACATCGCAGAGATCACCTTTCTCCACCATGTAGTGTACATTCCCTCGCTACTTGCCATAGTTGATAAACTCTATTGTGACCTGAAAGAAAGTGTCAAACCTCAAATATGGCCCCCCTAGGCCATATACAGGAACCCTGGTTTTTGTTATGGTCTAGTGGAAAAGTACGCTGTATTTCGTTCAACAGAAAGCAAGCCGGTCAAGATTGGGTACGTTTCAGTGCTCCTCAGCATTCTCGCCAGAACCACGTCCTTTTAGACTAAACGCGACATGTGCAACCCCATCTTTGCGACTGCTGAAGAAGCAGTTGCACAGTCTATACAGTGGATGAGAATTGCGATGGAGGTGATTGACATCTCGCGTTACAAACACCTCGAGTCAATACAGGACATCCAAGCGATGATCATCATGGTATTTGTGACAGCCAATATCGTGGGAATTACAACCCAAGCCCGGCATATAGTTTCTACTGCCATCTCATCTGCAAGAGAGCTATCCTTACACCGGATCGACTATCCACACAATACCAGTTTCGACATACCTTCGCCATCGTCTGTAAAAGCAGAGATCTGTAGAAGGATGTGGTGATGTCTTGTGGCTACTGATTGGTAAGTTTTCCTCCTCCCTTTTCCCTTCTTGTCAGAACATGAGCTCATTCGGTAACAGGCAGATGTCGCAAATACCTAGGCCACAGAGGGGCACCTATTCAATTTATCTGCACCACATGACGACCAACAAAACTAGCTATATGAATGATGAAGATATTGTAGACGGGATGGTTGGAGTTGGAAAGCCGCTCACCCATCCCACATCGATGTCGTACTATCTCCAGCGGATTCGACTGGGTGAGTTTTGCCGAGAGATCACAGATTGGGCCCCCGTTTGGAATGGCCGATCCAGGAGGCCCAGACTATGAGCACACGAAACAGATTGACGGCAAGATTTGTAAATTTGCTGAGAGCCTACCCTCGTTCTTTTCGTTGACCTATATGTCGGAGGAGCTGCCAAAAGCCGATCCGAGAAGATCTCCCGGAATTATCATACAACGCTAGATCATCAATTTCCTACTGCATTTGCAAAGGTGCAATCTTCACTTGTCTTGCTTGTCGCGAGTGTCTAAGGATCCTGCATACGACTACTCACGGAAAGCATGCCTGGAAGCTGCTCGAATGGTGATCAAAACCGAGCGCCAACTCTCGGTTGAGATGATCCCCTTTGTTGCGGCGCGACTGAAAATCCCAGGCTTGCTGCATTGCGTCTATGTAGTGCAAGTAGTGGCTCAATGAGCGGTCTCAGCATGGATCCGAGCTAGGATTTGAAGTCCGGGACACTATGACGCATGGTATGTCAGCTGTTTTTAGTCCTTATTTGTGCAACTGATTCGCGCGTTGAACTCCCACTCGGCTATTCAGCCACTTTCCCATTAGGACCGACATCACACGTCCGGTTAAACTTCGCGGGCATACAATACTAACAGGCGAAGGCGATCAGCCTAACGGTGAAGAAAGCCATCCCGTACGCTACAATCTATGTTAAGTAGAGCGGGACCTATGAAGTCAGGGGCTTACTATGTATTGCAAGTCCGGTAAATTAATCTTCAACCTGTCCAGCGTATCTAAATCCATGTCATGATGTTCAAAATCAATCAAATGCGCCTTTTTAGAGGGTAGCGAGGCCGCTTTGTGATCGATGTGCTTGCTTAGGAAATAGGGAAATCTCTGGCCTGGTTCCTCTACACACTCTAGCTTTTCCCCTGCATAAGGACACTGCCTCTTGTGTCAGTTCGTTCAATGATTTTTTCTGGATCAGATCATCGATCTACGGACTCTGTATTTCACTAGGTATATCATACAACGGTTCACAGGTGTTTACATGATAGGATCAATAAGGCTCTAGAATCTTACGTTGGGAGCCTTTTGAGCGACGATCGTCTCTGTCATGTATTCCAATTTACACGCGTCGTGGAGTATTGCACATATCCAGTTGAGGAGACTTGGCTGTACTGAATAGCATATATAGTGCAAAATAGCATGATGTGGGTATAATTTCTACAATGAGAGTTAGCAAAAGGACCATGGATGAGCGACATGGAAACAATCGACTGTTGTTGGCCGGGTCCAATTCGGGAGTTCCACTTCCACATTGTTCAATAATGATGAATAGCCGGCTTCATACCTGATATCATCTGATCTAATCTCTTTTTGTCTTCTTCTCATTTTCATCTTTCATCATACTTATGAGAGTGCTTTATGTTTCAAGTCTCTACCCGTGTTGGTTACACCATTCACAGTCATTGTACAAAGACCTGATCCTTTAGATGTACAATTTTGCCTCAGCTACCTGGCCACTCCAAAGGATATGATGCATGTAGGAGACACAGCATGTAAAAGAATTCAAGTCAGAGATTTGTCAATTACCATGGCTATTCCGATCAAATCATAGTTTGTTTTTCTTGTCTTGTTTATTGTCCTTGACAATTCACTATCGAGGTAGAATTCCAAGGTTTCCAAGTAGCTACATTACATGAGCAGCCTAGAATCAAATACGTGGACAAGACTTTTTATCTGATATATAATAAATCAGCTGCAAGATCAGAAGCTGAAGGATTAGCAGCTTGACCCTAATATACCCCCGACTACCTGATAACAACAATGGGCTCTACTTGAATGATCGGAACCTCTCGAGGGACTCACACAGTGATCTACGGGAAACTGCATGGACTGTAAAAATCAAGTCCATATTCCCTTATATGCCCAGCCAGTAACCATTGTCTGTGTCTTCAGATCATGTTTTTAACTGGAGGAATAAACGTCCTCCTGTAGTCCATCTTGCTCCACATCTCTATCAATTGGAATTCTGTTCGAGATGACGTTGTGTGTGTTGTTACGCATCTCGCTCCGGCTGGTTCGGACCTACTGTGGTCTACTCTCCGGGACCATGGTATTGGTCTATCGGAGATCTTCCCCACGGTCAACTTGAATGGCTGATAGCGTCTAGTTTCTATTGTTTCTTGATGCTTTCATATCGGGGAATTTTGCCGGTCATCTGTACCCTGCTGTTATATTTTCCGTTGATTCGTTTGGAGCTTGAACCCCACCCTTGTCTTATAAAGATGCATCTTCCCCCCAAACCCTTGTTATCTCAACTAAAGCTATCTCTACCATCACAACGCTACAAATAGATATTGTCAGATCGTCCAGTTCTTCACGATTTCTTCAAAAGGGGCCGTTGTGTTCATTCGACCACGGATCAACCTATTCACATACGCTACATAGCAAGGATGAGGAAGTTCATTGCCCTCGCTGCCTTTAGTGCCGGCTCTAACGCCCTTGTGAGCCGCACGGATAGCTGCTGCTTCCACCTCACCTCTTCCGGCGGTGCTTCCGGTCAATTGGGCCAGCTTGGTGATGGCCAGAACCGCATTGGCGACAATAGTCTGCAACCCGCACAGTACTGTATCGATGCCAATGGTAGCATCACCGATTCCAAGGGCCGTGGATGTATCCTTACACGTAAGTAAACCATTCCATCTCCCTATATATCCACTACCAATGGATGTACATCTGACTATATAACAGCTCCCACCACTCAACTTCAGTGTGACGAGGGTGTGGCTGCTACCCCCGGTTTTTCGATCAACGCCCAGGGTAAACTTCAGTTCCAAAATAGCCCAGGCTTCGTTGCATGTGCCACGGGCCAGAATGGTGGTCTGAATATCTACACGACTCCTAACAAGATGGATGTCACTGGCTGCGTGAACGTGGACATGTCTGCCGATTCCTGCTCGGGCACTGGTTCCGGCCTCGGTGGCCTTGCTCCGGGCCCTGCTCCTGCTCCTGGCGGCGGTGCTCCTGGT